ACTCACTCAGAGTATTGCAATTCCTGTAGCAGTGCTTTGATGTTCCTCTAAAAAGTGGTTGTTTGTCTTCATTTGAAAGGATTAAATATGAGTTGTCTGCTGTTGTTAGTCCTTGTAACAAAAGCTCTATTGTTTTCCTTAAAATAAGGTTGATTATCTATTTGGATGATTTGAATCAGTGTTGGAAAGATTTTTTTTGCCCCATTATGAGACAATAATTTTCTTTTTAAGAAGAGTTAATTACTCTCAAAATTGATCTATGTTAGAAATAGATTTTGTTGTACTTATGTGCCCTTAGCATGGTGTTGCGGTGATCACTAAGAAGAGAGTCACCTAAAATTACCAAAAAAACATTTGGTGCCATAAATTCTCTATTTTTTGAAAATTTATGCTTTTTTTTACTCAATTTCAAATTGATTTTGGCTTGCAATATTTTTTATTGAATGATCACATATATGCGTTTTTCTCTTAAAAATATTTATTTTCGATTTCAACTATTTTGATTTTTGTTAAGTGTAAATTTTGTGCTATTTGTTGTGTTAAAATTCAGTGAAAATGTATTATTTTTTTTTGTATTGAATTGGATATATTTAGGAGTAGGAAAAAAATCAAAAGAATTGAACGAACGTCGCAACCCCAACTAATTCCATGCTTCATCGTTGCCATCTACAACATCCGAGTGTCTAATTCAGACATTGCGGTGCTGGTCGATCTAGTATTTAAGAAAAAATGAGTGTCGTTGTAGAGCCAAGGTTAGCTTAGGAATGCATCACAATGCCGCTGAGCTAAAAGGCAGTACTATAAGACACCAGTCTCGGGAAATTGAATGCTGGAGCTCAAAGCTTCATGATGCTGTAGCGTTACACTTTCAATAGCCACTTCATTGAATTTTTACAGCGCTGTGGTAGAAGACACATATGTTTAACCATTAGTTATGAAAGATCATTGCAACGATGCAGCGAAGCAAGGACAACAACATTGAAGTGCTAGTTCATCTTATACCGCCACAACGCTAATGCTTCGAGCGCCGTAGTGCCTGAGGCCATTTTTACATTTGTTATAAATCATTTTTCAATTTTGTTGTTACAAAGTTCAATCATTTTTTAATGGAATCCTACAATTTTGAGTGTCTTCATTTAGTTCTTCCTTAGAGTAAAGTCTATGGTATGCTAAGGAAGTACAAAAAACTTTCATTTGGATATATTATCTTGCATTTTGTAAGAAATTCTATGCTGAAGGAAGGAGTGCGGGGAACATTAATTGATCATTTAGGATGACATTTATATTTATTAATTCTCCTATATCTTTTTCTGATATGAATGAAATGGACATGAGTTTACTTTTTCATGTTATCTACGATTGGCTAAATCTCTGAGTTTTGGGTTAACAATATAAACACACAGTAGATACTAATAACTACAGGAAAAACCGCAATTTCCGGCGTACATTTTTCGTCGGAAAATGGCCAAAATCCGCCGGAAATTAGGATTTCCGACAAAAATATTTACGCCGGTTCAACGCGCGTCGAAAAAGTGCTATCAGCGTAAAACTTTTCGCCGGAAAAATTTCCGGCGAAAAATGCGCCGGAAATATTTCCGGCGAATATAAACTACGCCGGAAATTTAAAAAAATTGAAAAAAAAAAAATTCCCTAGGAATTTCCGTCGAATTTATTTCCTCCAGAAATTTTATCGGAAATGAGCTGTTTTCCTGTAGTGAATGTAGACACTTTTTTCCCTAATTTAGTTAAAATATTTTTTGTAATTTCACTCATTTTTAATTTAATGCATATAATGATCATGTGGATGGTTAATATTTAGTATGATATATTACCTCGACGGATAAATATTGGAATAAGTAGGAGTTAAGAAATAGAATTTTTGCATATCTAGACATAAGATGCTAAACCTTCTAGGTTCTACGAAGATATTATAATAGTAGGATGGTCATAAACCTCCCTTTTTATCCCTAAAAGCTTGATAGAGATCTAGTGATGCATATGGTTTAATCCATATCTACAATTAAGAGTCTCATTAAAAAAACTAAGTTGTCTTGCATTGATTAGTTAAAAATATTTTATTTATATTAATATCTATGTTATTTCAAAGGGAAAAGATCCTAAGAGTAAAAATAGTTGGTGGTGGAATCTAAATGTGCAAGAAAAGATAAAAACTAAGAAGATTTGATATAAAAATGAGTTTAGATGTATAAATTATGATAATTGGGAAACTATAAAGAGGCTCGTAAGGAATCTAAGAAAGCTATTTACGATGCAAAGAGCTTAGCTTTTAATGATTTATATTATAGATTAGATAAAGATATATGTATAAGTTAGCCAAACAAAGAGATAGGAGTAGTAAGGATTTAATTCAAGTGAAGTGTATTTAGGATGAAGATCAAGAAGTAATTTTCTTAGAAGATGATATTCAATAAAGGTGGATGAGATATTTTGCTAAACTTTTTAATGAAGAACGTAAAAATATGATTGACTTTATTGGCTTTATCACCCTAATTGAAAATAAAGATTTTTGTTTTTATTGGCGCATAAGTAAAACCAAAGTTAGAGAGGCTTTAAAAAAAATAAAGTGTGGAAAAGCTGTTAGACCTGATAATATTCCAATAGAGATGTGGAAATGCTTATGAGATGAAGGAATTTCTTGGCTTACTAAACTTTTTAGTATTATTATGAAGACTAAAAAGATGCCAGATCAGTGGAGAATGAGTGTGTTAATTCCTATTTTTAAGAGTAAAGGTTATGCACAGGAGGTGCAAATTATAGAGGAATTAAGTTAATGTGTCATACTTTAAAACTATGGGAGCAAGTTATGGAGCATAGGTTGCGACGTGATACTAATGTTTCTCAAAATCAATTTGGATTCATGTTGGGTAGGTCTACTATGGAAGCCATACATTAATTGAGAGGTTTGATGGAGAAATATAAAGAGAATAATGAGGATCTACATATGATATCTATTGATTTAGAAAAATCATATGATAATGTTCCAAGAGAAGTTCTATAGAGAGCTCTTGAAAATAAAGGAGTTAATAATACTTATATTCAAATCATTAAAGATATGTATGCAGGAGCTATTACTTGTATTCAAACATAAGGTGGTTTGACCAAGTATTTTCCTATTTCGGTTGGATTACATCATTAATCAGCTTTAAGTCCATATCTTTTTTGCTTTAGTCATGGATGTTCTCACTAAACATTTGTAAGAGGATGTACCCCTGTGTATGCTTTTTGCTGATGATATTCTTCTTGTTGATAAGACTAGAGAGGGAGTTGAAGGTAAACTCGAATTATGGTGGTCAATTTTAGAGTCTAAAGGTTTTCGCTTGAGTAAATCTAAAACTGAATATATGGAGTGTAATTTTAGAAGCAATAGACCTAGTGATGGGATTGTGACTTTGGGCGATCAAGTCATTAATAAGAGTACACATTTTAGATATCTTGGATCTATTGTTCAGAGTGATGGTGAAATTGATGTGGATATTATTAGCAGAATTCAAGTTGGATGGTTGAAGTGGAAGAATGCAATGGGCTTATTGTGTGATAGAAAAGTCTCCCTCAAACTTAAGGAAAGATTCTATAAGATGGTGGTGAGACCTGCAATGATTTATGGTGCCGAATGTCGGCCATTAAAAGAGAAGTATAATACTAAGTTAAGTGTTGCAGAGATGATGAGGCTTAGGTGGGTGAGTGGCTTGACCCTTAGAGATAGGATACAAAATGAGCATATACGTAAAATGGTTGGAGTAGCTATATTGGAAGATAAGATTAGAGAGTATCGCCTTAGATGATCTGGTCACATTAAATGGAGGCCTTCCGATGACCTGATTATGAAAGTTGAGGTATTAGATTTGCCTTATATTAAGAAAGGTAGAGGTAGACCTAAAAAGACTTGATTAAAAAATATTAGAAATGATATTTCTTTATTAAATTTAAATGAGAATTTGACTTTTAACTGGAAACAATGGCAAAAAAGGATTCATGTAGCCTAACCCACTTAGTTGGACAAATGCTTGATGTTGTTGTTAGTATCTATTTCTCTATCAAGTCTCCATCAACTGAAAAAAAGCTAAAAAATAACTTTTTTTTTATTTAATTGGATAAATCAAACTTTTATATTAGATAACAGTTGTTTAATTGCAATTATGAATAATATTTCTCATGGGATAAACACTCTTCTCTATAACTTTATTACTTAATCGACACATATACTTGCATTTCTATTGGGCTTTCATTATTTTCATATCAAAGGAAACCTAAATATATTCATGCTGCACCCTAGCTCTATGTGTAGCTCATGTTGACCGCAGCCCTCACCAAGTTTTTGGTATTGTTACTGGGGAAGTAACATATATATTGTAATTTTAAATTATATTGTTGAACTAGTTGCATATTTAGACGTACTTATATCCTATATCTTCATTTTTTCTTTTTTTTTTGTTAAAATTTTGAAAACGATAAAAAAAGATTTATTTTCTTTATTATTTAGTTTATTGTTCTTTATTTTGTTGCATGCTTAGTAGATTTAATAAGGAGATATTATTTTTTATTCTAATAAATAAACAACCCTATAAAAATTTAAAAAATAAAAATATTTTAGAGATGTCTAAACTAGTAAAAGATTAGGACCATTCTTGACCGCTTAGAGAGTATTTTAATCATGTAGTAGACATAATCCATTTATAGACTAACTATCCGACATATATCTTTGAATTAAAAAAATGACATAATTTAGATGATTCAAAATTTTTAGTTTGAGGGAACTTCTATTGAGGTTCCCAACCTCATTTAGCTTGCTTCTTAGAAATCTCCACAACTTTCAAATATAATGCTGTTTGTAATGATGACATTAGACTTCAATTGTTCCCATTTTTTTAAGGGATAAAGCTAAGATGTGATTGAATTCCTTGCTGATAGGCTTTATAATCACTTGGAATGAGTTATCATATAAATTCTTAGCTAAGTATTTCCCTCATTCAAAAATTGCTAAGCTTAGGAATGATATCACATCTTTTGAGCAATTTTAAGGAGAGTAAATTTATGAAAGTTGGGAGAGTTTAAGAAAATACTTAGGAAATGCCCTCATAATGCTTTACCTAATTGGTTGGTTATTTAGAGTTTATATAATGGATTGGTAGAATCCCATAGGCTGATTATAAATACAACAGCCGGAGGATCTTCGATGTATAAGCCATTTGAAGAAACCTATGATTTAATTTAGGAAATAGCTATAAATAATTTTTAGTGACCTTCTAATAGGGTGTATCCTAAGAGAGGTGTTTATTGAATTAGATGAATTATCAATTTTAACTACTTAGGTAGCTATAATTTCTTAAAAGTTAGGTACTATTGGAGTTTATTCTGGATCAAGATCATCTATGAAATTGAAAGAGCATTATTTAAATTCTATTGATGATTGCAATACACCAGGGATTGAGAATGTGAATTTGATTGAAATATAAAGTAATCTTTATTCCATTATATATAATCCAGGTTGGAAGAACAACCATAATTTTAGTTGGTTAAATAATAATATTAGCAGTATTAATTAGTGGTATGCAAGTCTATTTAATCTAGGAGAAAATTAAAATAATCCTCAACAACCTAGAGTAAATCCTAGACCTTAGCGTCCCCTAGGTTTTCACCAAAAGAATAAGTTTAGAGAGAGAAAATCACCTTTGGAAGAGGTGGTTATTTAGTTAGGAACCCAATTGCAAAGTTAGGATGATTCAATTAAAAGTCAGGACATATTATAATTTTTTTTAGCAGTATACCTCTTGGAACTTTGCCCAACAATATTGAATATAATCCAAAGGAGAAAGAAAAAGAGCATAGTGGAGACCACTTTTGAATGTCGCGGTGCCATTATGCCATACCTTGTGCCTCAACACTATACTATTAAGTGTTCTAGTGTTCGGTTTGTTATTTTAACACTACTGGTGGCAGTGCAAACAATAATTCATATATTTATAACATTTTTCATTATGATACTTTATTGACCACCGCAGTGCTATTGATAGCTCCATGGCATTAGGTCGAAATAATTATTAAGTTAGTTAAAGAACCATGACAGTGGCCTTTATTAGTGCCATAATGCTTATGCGTGTCAAGAGCTAGTGTGTTTTCTCCATAAAAAACTGGCACTTCACTTTCCAAGGTTTGCACCACAAAAATGTGTGCCATTTACCACTGTAGTGTCGGTATGTTTGAATCTATAATTTTCTCTATTTTTAAGCACCATAGCGTTGTTCTTTTAAGCGCTGCAATGCTATTAAAAATTTTTACTATATTTATTCTCTCATTTCTCTAAAATTTTCTACATTTTCCTTGCTTGATCTATTTGAGCAAAGAACTAAAAAACATTTGGCAATAAGAAGTGTGCTTCATCCTCCTATAAAAAGATTAGATTCATCGCTGGAGAGGGTGAGCAAAGGTTTGCGGCATTAGTGGTAAACAAGTAGTTAACCCCTTAGTAAGGCTTTCTAAACCTAGGCTAGACGGTGATGTAATTAATAGTGAACCAAGGCTAGGAGTTTTGTGTGAGGAACCCCATGCTACTATAGTTAATGTGATAAGAGATATTTTTGTAAATGTGAAGGAGGCAACGGAGAATAGGTGATATGTTAAAGTTAAGTGGATACCATTTGACCCTATAATTATTAATTCTCTATATAGCTAAGAGAATTAAGCTTAATGAATGTACTCCTTTTAATCTAGCCCCTATAAATCATGATGACTTGCTAAGGGTTCTATACAAGTCTCATAGTAGGGTTGTGTGGAAGAAGAGGGAGGACAAAATAATAATTTTTATGCATCTTGCTTAACTCAACATTCCAAAGCTTGACGTTATTTTATTTCTTCTCATCATTTGCAAAGAAAAGATATTATTGAAGTAACTAAAGTCCGCGCTTTGCTCAATTTTTCTATTCATTTTCTTTATAATATAGATGTGGGAAAGCTTATTTACTCCTTTTTAAACTATAACATCAGGGACACTACTTCGGTGGGCTTGGGGCATCCTTCTCTTATTTATGCTTTATGTGTTAATGTTGGTGTGAGGAGATATCCTAGTAAAGAACAAATTTTCCCCATTTTAGTCCTCACCTAAAGAAAATTTGAGATCTTTAAAAGAGGAGTAGGAAGGACCTAGTGATACCAGACTGATAATAGGCCCATCAGTAGAAGTAAGAGGTGTTCTAAGACTCCTAAATCTTTAGTTAAGCAGCTAGCCAAGCTGAGGGAATAGATGGAGGGTGTGACTATGTTCTGTGAGGAAAATAGGCAACGGCAAGCTCTTTACTTGGGTATGTAGGAAAAGCATTACTACTACATAGCTAAATTTAATGAGGATTTAGTGGGGATGTTCACCCTTTGTGGAGAATCCAGATCAACTAAATTTCCCTATTGCTCTAGGCTTATGGTTTGGGGGAGGTCCTCATGATGTTATGATTGTAATATTATCTTAGTGATGATGCATTATGGCTATAAGAGCTATTACTATTACTTAGTGAGAATATATCCTATGGATCTTGGAAGGAAATGGATTAAGGGAATAATTATTCATGCACTGGTTATCTAGTGTTTGTTCTTAGTAGTTGTGTTATAGTGCCTTTGAGCTTTTATCATTCAATAAAAATGCATGTTTATTTTATATTCAATTTTTATTTATTCTTGTGCAATTTGTTGTTTCTGTTTTATTTATATTTGGTTATATTTTACTAATGCTTATCTATTAAAAATTATCCTCTATATAGTGTTTGTACTTTGATTGCTTATTTTTCCAAAAAAAAAAAAAATAATAAAATTTATAAAATTAAGATAATAATTAAATCCTAGATGATAGTTTAAATAAATAATGTATAATAATTCATAATTTGGAAAGCATAATAATTAAATAACATAGACCACCTAAGTATTAGAATTATTTTGAATTTAGAAACTATACACTAATGCACTAACTACTAACTTGAAGATGAGAAAATGAGTTTAGAAAAAAAAGCAGGTAGTTTAAATTAGGAAGATCATAGTAAACTTAAATATGGAATTAGTGATTTTATTAAATCCTTACATTAAATCAATTAGGGTTGCGGGAAGATGAAAGCGAAACTTATATTCAAATCATTAAATATGTTCTCCACAAGTACAAAAAAATAAAAAATCATTAGAGGGACATTGAAAAAGGAAATAAATGAGTTCTTTCAGAAATTGGTATCTATTGAAGCTAAAGTCCAAAAGCATCCTAATACTTAAATCAAATAGGACAAAGTAAGTGAAATAATATATATGATTATGCACTAATAAACTTATAATTTAACTATAAGTATAACTAATCCCTAAGTAATATATTTTTCATTTTTTAAATCAAAAGTCAATTTTACACCTACACTTATTGTAGATAGGTTTAATACAAGAAATAACAAGGTTTATTGATTGAGATATTTATTATGAACTTTCAAATTTGAATTATAAATTTGATCATTCTAATATACTTCTAGATTGAGATATATTATCATATATTTTTGAAATTTTAAATTATCAATTTTTATTTTAGTTATCAAGTTAATCAATAGGTGATTTCACCATTACTTTAGGATAAACAAGAGTTTAAGCTGGAAAAAATTTGTTAAGTGTAAATTGTGTACTATTTTTTATGTTAAAATTTAATAAAACATTATTTTAGTTGTGTTTGTGTAACAAATATTCATGAGAAGGAAAAAATTCATAAGTGTTATTAAATGAGAACCATAACACCCACTAATTCCACACCATAGTGTTTCCATCTACAACATCCTAGCATCTAATTTAGAATTTGTGGCTCTGGCCGCTTTAGAATTTCATAAAAAATAATAATTTAGTGGAGCCATGGTTAGTGTCACAGTGCATTACAGCATCAGTGCACCAGAAATTAGCACCATAGCACTTTAGTCTTAGGAAATTATAGGCCAGAGCACCAAGCTTCATAATGTTGCAGTACCAGATTGCACTATCAAGTGTTGTAGTACTGAATTTTTTAGCACCATGGAGGAGTAGTTGAAAAAATGAGGACCTGTGCCGACTCAGCTAAAAGATAAGTTTGTTCTACCATTAACTGTGCCAGGTCAGCACAACACCACATTGGAACTCAATAGCACCTAGGCGGAAGTTCAACTTTTACAGTTGTGGTGCCAATACTTCAAGAGTTGTGACTCCTTAGGCCATTTATGTGCTTTTTATAAATAAATTTTCAATTCTTTTGCTAGAGAGTTCTATCATTTATCAATAGAGTCTTATACTTTTGAGTGTCTTTATTTAGTTTTCCCTTAGAGTAAAATCTCAAGGAGGCTAAGGAAATACAAGATACTTTCATTTGGAGATATTAGCCTATATTGTGTAAGCAATTCTATGTAGAACATTAATTGATCCTTTTGGATGACATTTATCTTTAATAATTCTCTTATATATATATATATATATATATATAATTGAAAATGAGTTTGCTTTTGTGTTATCCATTTCTGGCTAAATCTCTAAGATTTGAGCTAATGATGCAAATGCAAAGTAAGTACTAACGTTGACTCTTATGCCTTGAATTAGTTTATGGATGTTTTCAATATCTCCCATTCTTAATTTAATGGATACAATGGCCATTATAATAGTTAATATCTAGAGTGATATATTTCCTTGATGGAGAAATATTATAACAAATAGGAGTATTGAAATAGAATGTTGGTATACCTAGATATAGGATGTTAAACCTTCTAGGTCTGGAGATATTATAATAGTAGGAAAGCCATAAACCTCCTTTTTTACCCATATAAGCTCAATAAAAATCCAGGAATGTAGATGATTTGATCCTTATCTAAAATTAAGAGTCTCACTATAAAATCTATATTGTTTTGCATTCATTAGTCCAAAACATATTATTTAAATTGGTATCTATTTTTCTTGCAAGTCTCCATTAAGTGACAAAAACTAAAAAAACAATTGTTTTTTATTAAGTAGGATAAATCGTGCATCTATATTAGATAATAATAGTTTAATTACAATTAAATAAAATGCTTCCTCAAGGTATCGACATCCTTCTCTATCACTTTATTTCTTAATTGTTATGTAT